CATCGGCAGGGCTGTGTCTAGTATTTTGACAGAGTTCTTGCCGGAGTTGTGGAAAAGTATGACGAAGTTTGGCCTTTTGAGTACTAACTGTAATTACTTCTGCTGATCGAGAATGATTATCGTCCATAATCTGAGACGATAAACTTTTCATTGCGTCAGTTGTAACCATCGTCCAATAGCTCATGAATTACCCATTCAAGAGGATGTTAAATGGCTCCTGGGTATAATCTCTGGCATTATTGTGAGTAATTAGTCAGACGTGTGGCTGACAAGCCTCTAAGTTTGTCTCACTTCCATAGGCGCACATTTAAGCGTGTGAACGAGTGATTTTGTCCTCACCCTGCGCTGTGAATGGTCCCCACCACTCACCTGTTCTACGAGGTTATGCTAGTTTACCATAGTGTTTCGGATCTGTTAACACTGAGTGCTACCTAAATTGGTGTTCTAGTTTTGTAAATGTCAAGTTGACAAGTGGTGTTTGTCAGTGATGTGGAGAGCGTCTAAAATTTGGTCTCTTAGAGTCGGGCACACCATCAGGAGGTGTCATCTGGTTTCCACAAATAAGCCAATACGCTACCCCCAAAGTTAACAATTTTACTATGTATACGCAATTCTTCCCCAAAAGGAAGGGACCTCGAGAACCCCACTTTGACTGCAGGGTGAATATTTTGCTGACTGACTTTAAGTAGTCAGTAGTGGGTAGTGCTATTTGGTCCTTTCTCACAGCATAGAATTTGAATCTTCCTCTCTTTCCGTGTTACATCTACCTTTGGGTGACCTATCATTGCATTCAGATCATTGTGGCCATTTCATGGCTGGGTGCTGTTTGGCATGCTGTTAATTGTGCCTCCTCCAACATTTGTCTACACCTCAACAACTGTGTTTGTGGTTTCTAAAGTAAGTTAATCTCGGTTCGCTAATCTAGCAAGGTGGACTCAAGCCTATCAGTCTCAAAAGACAGTTTGTAGAGTGAAGAGTCAGCTGGTAGGGAAGGGAACAGGGAGCACAGTAAAGGACCCATCAAGACTGAAGCATCTGCTTCGTTGTGCATTCACACAAGCAATTTCAACGAAATGTGGACTGTTTCAGTTGGTTTTTTCTATAAAAAAGTGGTTATTTCGTCTATCACATCAAAATAGGCAAACTTTGAGTCATTCCTCAACTGCATGCGCCAAAATACTGCGGAGGAACGAAGTGCTGCTTGCATGTAACCTCACCTTTAAAGCATCAGGAGCAGATGCCATTGCCTTCCAAGCAATGGAGGGTTTTACGTCCTCCATTGTTGGGTAAGGCTGAAGGGGTCAGGGCTTCTAGCAATCCATCGGGTTTGAATAATCTTTAAATAAGCTACCAACTGTGACCATTTCTAGGCGGAAGGGCTCCAATGTTGGATTTTCTGGCGTTCATTTGTCATTTGCCCCCAAGGCCACGAAGCCACGACCATTCCTTAATGGATAAATAGAAGGTTATACCGTTTTCGTTTTCCATCGTTTTTTTTCAAGGTTCTGTATCCCAAGTTCTGGCGGATCGTCAACAGCGGGGCCTTAAGTTTTTGGAGGTGGAGGTACTTCGAATCCTTACTGATGTCTGCGAGGCGGTCTCGCGTCTCCACCACTGCGAAACTCCGATTATCCATCGCGATCTCAAGGTGGGCAAGTCGAAATCACCCTCCGTTAGATAGTATTGTGAAGTCAGGAGAACTGTCCCCCATAAATGATTATGGCGAACTCATTAAAATAATCGCGTCGAACTCTAGATCAGAGCAGTTGCCAAATTTGGATTAGGTTTTGAGATTCAAATGTCAACATCCGGATAAGTCGGAGTTGCTTTGTTTTTGACACAGGCAGCTAGTCACTGTTACTGACATGTCATTGTAATTCGCTTTGGATGTGAGGTGGAAGGTGCATCCTTTACAATTTCATTTAGTATTCAAGGGTCTATCATGGTTAGCTGAGAAACTCTTTGTCTTCAAATAACCTGTCTTCTGTTGATTCTCCTCGCCTCAGATTGAGAATCTACTCATTGACAGTCGAAGAAATGTTGTCCTCTGTGACTTTGGCAGTGCTACCTCACGAATCCTTCATCCTTCAAAGCACGGAACCCTTCGTTGTCAAGAAGAGATTGAAAAGTGAGTGCATTGCTCTTTCTCACACCAGTCGACTAAACTCGACAGCCACTTGATCATTTTCTCTCGCATCGGTAGCCAAACACCTTTTTTTGTGGTTGGGAAGCTTGAAGGTCGTTTATACTTAGACGCTCGAAAAGTGAATTAGCAGTTGTTCTTTTTAAATGATCCTTTAGGCGTAAACAGCATTCCTCAACTTCTCTATCATTTTTTACTCCTTCACAACTTTTAGCTAAAACACGATTTTAAGAAACTGGTTTACTTAGGGTGAAGCGATTACCCATGTGCTATGGTCAGATCAAGCAGATATCTCATTTGATGGTCAACAGCCAACTACGTCTGTTTTCCATAAAGGCAAGACAATTTTTCAACATGGCGAGTCAAAATTAATTGCTGTGTCTGGATCCATACCGACGAAAGCCCGTTCAAAAAAGTAAACAAGTAAGCAGGTGATCACTCCATCAGATGGATGTTTGATGCGAATGCAATTTAAAGAACGGGAAGTGCTGCATCTCTCCTGACGACCTTTGTTTGTGCCATTTGTATTGTTATTAATGTCAACAGGAGTCAAGAAGCCTCGTATAGGCCTGGTCTCTGCTTCTGCAAAATAAGACTTGATGAAGCACTTGGTGCCTTCGTTGCACCACACTTTAATAATCGTCTTCAGTGGTCTCTAGCTCTGGACAGTTATAAGGTGTACAGTTACGGACAGAACCTGATTGTGCATGAGCAGAGGCGTTGGTGCGCTGTTAGCAGAATTAATGTGGTTAGAATGTCGTGTTGCGTCCCCTGTCCCTGGGAAGGAGATGCCGGTGTATATGTGGGGTCCACTGTATCTCCACCATGAAGTTTAATGCCCTGGATGGTGTTCGAGGCCCTGGAGGCCTTGTTCATTTTACAACCACGATGTGGATTCACCCTCCCCTACATTGTCCCTCTCATTGGAATAAATCACTATAACCCGCAAATATTTTAATGTCAAACGTCTAGGATTAGCCGCCTGTAGGGGACAACATCTTTTAACAGCTCAACAAACCCATGTGAAAAATCATTTTTGTAAATCACGTTGCGTGTATGTGACGATGGTGACGAAAGTAGACCTTAGACTTCTTCCTTCTGTAATTATCTCTGAAGAGAAGAAATAATCCCGACGTTGGATAGAATGCTAATAGAGATCTAAGTAGCCAAAAGATCTCAGTGGGGAGTCATTAAAGTGGGTTAGTCTGAGGGACAACCAATGCAATGGAGCGGTTTTTTTTTTCATAGCATCATTCCATCACAATTCCGTGCGTGTGACTTGGCAGGAAAGATATTAATCAAACACTGTTGTAAGATGTTCCATCCTGTGAACCGAAACTTTGTGGTTCGTGCGCGTTTCTCGTCGATGGGGGCGGATGGAGCAAAATAATGACGCAGTCAATTTTTGGACGCTTTATTGGCTGGTCTATGACAATTTTTTTCCCTTTGGAACGCTAGCGTCTCAAGCCCTATTACTTCAGTAGTCCGCTGAAACCTTTTGTCCGTCTTCGCTTTGAAAGGAATGATGGATGTCGAGCGAAAACTATTGGCCTTTTTGTGCTTATCTGCTTTTATTGTCGCAGAATGGTTTGTCTGTTCGTAGGACTTTGGAGGAGTGTTGGGTCTTTTTCCCGTTCCTTAATTAAAACCAATTTCCCCTCCTATAAGTGGACAATTTTCACGACTCCTTTCTAAACCTAATTTGGTGCGAGTCAGTTATGCATTTACGTTCGGTCGGATGATCTCTCAAGGCGACTTTGGGAAACTTGTGTGAAATAGTTAGGTGAGGCTTGTCTTTATTTATTTTACTCCGGTCGACTACTGTAACGTTCCTTTTGCGTTAGTGATAAGGCACTGATAGACGCGCTTCTTATACGATGGAGCCCAACCTCTTTGAGGGGACAGAGGAGATGCAACGGAGGTCAAAGATGACCCAACCCTGGGTTAAATATCACTCTGCGTACCATTACAGCCTTTGAGTGTTGGAGATTGTATGAAAAAAAATGTGGAAGAAAAACAAGGCGCGAACACACTTTGATTACATGATGCATAGTTGTGGGTGTGTTTACGTGACCAACGTATCTTAAGGCGTTAGTGTTTTTAAGGTTAATTCATTTATGATTATTTTCAACACTTAGTGCAAGCAGAGTCACGTCCATTGAGTTTGAAAGTCACGGTGGAGGAAACCGGCAGTCTTCATGCCCCAGTGTCTTTGTAAACAGGTGTCGCGGAGTTTTAAAGTGGGGTTCGAGACAGAGGATTTGCGAGATAGTGGGAAGAGCTTTTAATTTTTGCTACGTTAATGCTTTCTATGCAATGAGGTGAGGAGTAATTTATAGCGTCTTTAGATCAGGTTATGCAGAAAACGCGATCTCCCTGGATGAGTGACCCATTCACCATTCGGGTCATCGTGGAGACTGGGGAATTTGGAACCGACAATAAGTTAATCAATGTTTAGACTGAACAAACTTAATTTTGAGCAATCTCAGCTCCTCATTGCAAAGTCAGGTAGTTAATGGTGTTTGAGTGAGGGAGGTAGTGCTTCATTGCATCCATCTCCTCGGTGACATTACTTCAAGCTCCGAGGCAATACCGCCCTCGGTTGGCATCGAGCGAACGCCTCTTCGTAAACGAGCCCTACTAAAGTTAATCGAAATTCTCGCTCTTTCCAACATTGTTTCAAAGCTTGTAATTAATTTCTTTCCGAGTTCAGTCGGTTGAACGAAGTACTGAAGGAGGAAATTTGCGAGTATTTGGCTTTCTTTGACCGATAGACTGCAACAACTGAGCGAGACATGGTTGAAAATCTCACATTTCATTATCCAACATTAAATGTGGTGGCGTTTCGGCATATGCTAAAGCGGATCCTCTAAGAAGTGAAAATACTTCAACGTTATTGAGATGAATGTAATGAATTTCATTAAATAGCAAATCTTTAGAAGAGTGTGGATGGTTGAGAGAGAAAACTGACAAATTGATAGGCTGTCGTATAGACAGAGTCTCTCCAAATTCCCTTCAACAATCGCGTTTAGTACGCAAATCCAATTTGCTCACCTTGCGAATCTTCAATCTCGAATGTAGCGTTCGCATGTGTGTATTATTAATATTATTATTTTTGTCTCAAATACATCAAGACACACGACTCCTTCTCCCCTCCCCTCCCCTCCCCTCTACTTCCCTTCCCACCACCCATTACCAACACTCCTTGTCCGAACTACACATCCATTGGTTCGGTGGGAGTGCCGCCAAGCTTTTCATGCTTTCGCAACACAGCAGCACTAATTGCCATGCGGCAATTGTGGTGGCGGAGACGGTGATGGGAGTAGGAGGAGGGAGGGGAAGTTGGTAAAATCAGAGTGACAATGAAGTATATCAGAGGGTGGCACAGTATTAGGCGGTCGAGAGGACCAGACACTGGAAGGAATGGATATGGCGAGACAATGAATGCGGTCGCTCGGGTCGGAAGCTGCATTTCGACTGTGAGATGAGGGTAGTCCGTTTCTGTCTGGTGGACGGCTACATGAGGGAGGTGAGTTGACAGAAAAGCGATGAGATGAGGTGCGACGAGATGTGACCAACTCACCAACCAACCACCCAACCAACCAATTAATCACCTCTGCCGCAAGCGAAGTCGGCACTTTGTAAAACCTGAGGAGAAGTGGAAAGGAAAGCAGCTCAACCACTTATCGTGTTGCTCAAGGCTTCATTAAAGAGGCGATTGGGATGACAGAATAATTGCTTCCAAATCGGTGTGGTGAATGATGTGCTACCTCATTACTGCGCTCTCTGCCCTCCTCTTGCTTCGATTCCCTCACCTTCGTCTCCTATCCAACTTCTTCCGTAGTCAATTTTAAATCTAAATCGGTTTTCCACGTAGGAGTTTATAAGAAAAAAATAATCAACTTTTATTTGTGGTCAAAATATCGTCTCTGCCTCGTTGTCTCACCCACTCCGTTATTCGCATTCGCTTTGCTTGTTGTAGCACCTTTACGAACCTGCATTCCTTAGACCGCCTTTTCTGCGCACTGAATTTGGGAAGGCGAAATGCATGTTAGGTTCCTAGCAAAAAATCATATACTTTGCGCCAAGTTGGTATTTCATTGAGCCCTTGAAGTTTGGTAGAGTGTGACGTAGTGGCGTTCACTTCCTCGTCATCGGAATTCCTCGAAATGTACGCCAAACGAATGATGAGGCAATCCACCGACATTTCGACACCATCCAACCTCCAAGTTTCATCGACTTCGACCTGATTAAAAGCTACTACGCTGTGTACACACTGTTGCGGTCAAAGTTCGTTGCAAGTGTTTTTTCTACCTTCACCTATTTTTAGTCCAAAAAATTGAACATCCACAAAAATGTGAACTCGAATGCCATTCCTATAAATCGTATTTTATATTATTTCTCCTGATATCGCTGACTTTTGAATGACAATGGCAGTTTAGCAACTCGTCTCTCCTTGACCGCCGATCGTCACCTCACTTGGTTTTATCTTTGTAGAAACTAAAAGCCACTTTTTAGGCAAGTCCAGTTTTTTTTCCCAACTATATTGGCAACATGTCTGTTGTCTCCCTTAACCGGTACTTCTGCCTAATGCCGTCAAGCTGTAGCACCTCCCTCCTGCATTTAATGACTTCGTTAATGCACTCCTCTCGTTCTACTTCAAGTTTTAATGGATAATTTCTTACAATTCGAATTAGCTTTCACTGATGACTTTTTGTTCACTAAAAGTTACACCCTCCTGTTAATCTCTCGTTGACCTTCCAGCGTCAGTTCCCCGAAAAAGTTTGCATTGGGTACCCCCAGGTGGCTAGTCTGATTAATCTCGGTTTCCATAATCTGAAGTGATGCAATGCTCGACATTGATTGTCCTCCATAGTAGATGAGATATGCTGCACCGTTTGGGTATTTCTGGGATTTATTTGAAGGGCACTGGGTGTGGGTGAGAGAGAAGGAGATCCAGTTGAAATGTCCACTTCCTTGTCCCTTTTTCTTTGATTCCTGAACGCTTGAGAATTTACTCTGTGTCGCTCATTCCGGTGTCAGTGGTTCAGGCCTCGAGGAGAGCAGTTAGGCTATGCTTCCATTGTGTCATACCGCATAAAGTTCTTGAACCATCCTTTTGGTGGTAACTACCGACGGGTGCATTATTAAAACACACAGTCTTCCGCCATTTTGAATTCGCCAAAGTTTTTTGTTTAAAATTACTTGCTGTGATTTCAATTGGAGAAACCGTTTTATTATGCCTACTCCTCCATCTAATTAGGCCAACTACCTAACTCGCTACTGACCACTCACATCGGCCAAGTGGTAAACAAACGGTAATTATTACAGACCCTTGCAGTTGAAGGAAAGACGAAATTCCGCATTAGTAAATGCTCGCTCCCCTTGGTGGACATGTTGAAGCGTAGCATCAAGGAGGCTGTGGATGTCATTCGCACATTGTATGCTTGTGTGTGTGGTTTGTAGGCACACTTGAAAACGTTGCACAGTCCCTCTCGACCTGCTGGTAGTTGTAATAACCGCACTTAGCGCCAATAGTGTTGAAGCCATCTATTCTCGTGTTTGAAACAATGTTAAAATTGCTTTTTACTGTTTTCATAATGCCATGCCACTTATTTGTTAGCTTCTAAAGTCTGCACTTTGCTGCAAATCACTTCTGGTTGAATTTTGCCAGTATCCGAAGGACATTCCTCCAGTTCCGGGTCGAATAGGCTTCAATGGTGAAGTTGAGGGACCCCAGTAGTAATTACGGCTGCTATCTTATAGGTACACCACTCTAGCTTATCGGGCACCTGAAATGGTCGACCTCTACTCGGGTGTTGCAATAGGACCTCCAGTCGACATTTGGGCATTGGGGTGCATTCTCTACGCCCTCTGTTTCTTTGCTCTTCCTTTTGGCTCGGGTTCCGCCTTGGCCATTCAGACCGGTCGGTACACCGTACCTGCATCAGCTTCCACCTCCTACTCTTCTCGACTACTCAAACTAATGCGTGAGTTGTCAATAGTCTACTGCTTCTCTGAGTTGTTGGTGAACACGTAGGCTTTTTTCTGGCTGCTAAATTGGGAAATAAGTGGCATTTTAGAGCTGGTAGTTTAGCCCTTTGAATTCCAATGCTTCATTCTACTTATATCTTCATAATAGCTTGTAATTTGAGGGGAGTACGAGTCTTAGTTATTTTAGTGATGATTCATTTGGTGTCACACCTTCCATTGGAAGTCCCCTCAAGTGGAAACATATTTTGTCCCTATTTGTGAAATAATCCAGTTGTTCATTATCTGCCGTTTGGTCTGAAAATAAGTCGATATATTTTAAAAGTTATTAAAGTATATATTTATGTTTTCAGAAGAATGGGCTTGTAAGTAATTGACAGTTGGAACAGCTTTGGATTAATCATGCCTAATTGACGAACTCCTTTAATCTCGGGCAGGAATTCGCATTCTTTTAATCATGGAATAAATATGTTTTCTATCGGTACTTTAATACTCCCCTGTTTCAGTTTTCTCAACCAATATTTTATTGCATGGAAGCGAAATTTTTTCGGTTTAGCTACCAAAACTAGAGCTAATGACTGATTGAGGGAACGAAACAGCAGTAAGAATGTTGCTTCTGTGGCCTTTGGGTCAGTTACATTTGTTCTTTAGTGAGACCCTTCAGTGGAAACTTTTCAATGTATTTGCTTTTTTAAAAATGCTCAAAACTGAGTACCGTGTTGATATTGCAGATTACATGTTGACAATTTCGGGAGTAGAGCGGCCAGACATCTATCAGGTCTCTTTTCTCGCATTTTCCCTTCTTGGACGACCAAATCCGGTGCCAAATGTCAATGTGAGTCGACATTGCTCGACGATGCAATCGGATGGTTCAAAATACTATCTATTCTTTTGCTGAAATTTGATTGGTTTGGGGCTTATTACGTACGTTGGTCATTGGTCAGAGCCAAACCAATGAAAAGCGTCTTCGCATTGACAGAAAGGCCGAGGTTGGGGACATGGTAGCTGTAGTGTAGAGATCCAGGCAACTGATGTATAACAGTGCCTCTCCTCGAATATACATCATCAACTCTTCTTTTATCACCTTTTTTCCCCATTGGCAGTCCACGAAGGCACCCGATTGGCAAAGTCTTTCCCTGCCGAATACCGATATTGTGAATACCTCTTCCAAGTCCTCCTCAGTTTCTTACCCCACTTCCTCTTCTACCGTTGGAGTCAACTTAGAAGGGTAGGTTGGTAAAACTGGCGACTTCCCTTTATAATTGGAAGCGCTTCGGGGTTGATTTTTTAATTCTTGCGCATTACACGGTTCGGAGACCTCAGCATCGACGCCACGGACAATTATTCCTCTATATGTCTACCGACCACTCAACAGTGAAACGATCATCGTGTTCTATTAGATTGAATAAGCTCGCATAGAGCCAACTTGCTTGTCTCATTCTGTAGGCAGTTTACCGAGGTTTTGAATGCCTCCACAACCTCTACCTCGACGCTACCGGAGCCATCAATGACTATACCTATTAAGACGACTACAGTCTCCCCATCTATTGCACGGCAACGGCCGCGGGCTGTCGTAAACCCAACCTCAACGGCGGCGATTAATGCCATTGCTAAACCTCCCAACCCTCCGCGTTCATCCACCGCTTTTCAGGTTATTGGTTTAAGCTCTTTGTCTGTTTTACGGGGTGGACGGTTTTCTTCTGTTGTAAATGCTTTTACTACTCTTGACGGGTTTAAGCATATTGCAATCTGTTCTCATTTAGGAGAATAAGTACTTTGAAATGCCTTCAAGTATGAAGTGGTCTACTCTTCTTGATTAACACCTGATCGAGTCGTTGGTGCCAACATGATATCCTTACGCACTAACAGATTGTGGTCGCCAATGTGCGCAATTTGTGCTCAAGCTTTTTATTATCCACTTACTTCTATTCCTCACTTTGGCAGGACTTTTTCTTCAAGAAAGTGTGAACAGCTAAACTTTTCATGATCCTCACTTAAGACAATGCTCCATTTAGAATTCCATTCACTTGACGAACATTTTGAAATCACCGCAGCAGCAATCTGGTGTTATTGCGTCCACCAAAGCCTCACCCCCACATAGGGTCGGTCATCGGCGAGGCTTGAGTGAAGCGTCAGCGCTGCTGTTGAATGCCTCCAACGTTCGACAAACCCACAGTCTAGGTGACCTGCAACCTAATTTCAACACGTGAGTACTATTATTTTTTAAAGAAAGGTTTCAAACCACAAGGTTTAGGCCTAATCGGGACTTTTAAGTTAACAAAAGAGAAGTCATTGAATTTCGTTTTGACCAAAAGCTTTGGCAGGGTAATTTTTCACGATATTTTTTGATGATTTTGTGGTCGATATTCGAATCTGGTCTTCAATTTATTCTCGGGAGGCTGTGGATTGAAAATAGCACAACCGTAACTTACGTAAAGACTTCAAGCCATCTCTGAACCTTTTTTCACCAATCCTGATGTTCTACTGGCGAGCACCTGGACACACCACACCATTCTTGAAATATTTTCTAGGTCCCACGACTTCTATTGAAGCAACTCTCGTTGCTCTTCGCATTTTACATGCATCACACAGACTTCACCACTGCTGCTTAACTAAATGGTATTCCATGTGGTCTGCGATATTCACACCGAATGTTGGCGAAGGTTATAGGACATATAAATTTAATTTTGTCCTCAAACTTTCCATGGGTTCATGTATAAGTGCCAACTCCGATCAGTTGATAGCAAATTACTTGTTTCCAATCACTTTCCTGTGTGCTGTAGGATGAATGCGAAGTCTGCCACTCTCGGGGCTAGGATTATTCACACTGTCGCCGACGATATCGATGGAGATCTTTTCGGTGCGGCATTTGATGCAATTCGAAACCAAAGTGCAGCTGCGAATAAGGTGAGAGTTGTGGTCCTTTTGGAGAGTCACCTTGAGGACCTTTTGAGTCGAACTTGTTGAATTGCTATTTCGTCACTACCACATCGTAAGACTCATCCCTTTCCACACTTCAGCAACGCAATGACATAGGGAGAAATAGGATGAATTTTGGTCAGCTAAAGGACGAGCCTAAGTGAGCTGAACCGACCTCCTCTTTTCAACTTATTTACTTTAATCCATTTTGGCTGTAAAGCTTCTACCTTACGTGTCTTTCCTCTGGTTACTCTACCACGCCTAGGAATTGGACGCACGCTCTTCTAGTCATTGATTCTTATCAGCCTATGGACTCTTCCTCTCTCTTCTTTCGTCTCCCCGTTCACTCTTGCATTTGTGATGTTTTAGTTACGGAATAAGTGTGGTGCTTGGTTTCTGCTGATGACTCGTGGATAATGGGCTTACTTCTACCGTAGTTTGGCCACTCATCACTTTGCGTACACTCCATTCTTGTAGGCATTCCCTAATGCTGGAGTAGAAGAATAGGTGAAAAATTGCTGAGATTTACTGTGCTGGCTTACTCACATACTGCAGGTTCGGTCAAAACATGGGTATCACGTTACCTTGCTTGCTTGTCTTAGTAAGGTCATCCTGAACTCAATTTCGCAGGCATAGCTCAAGTATTAGCAAAATCGCACAGCACCGGCCTTCCATTAAATTTAGATAGGAACAAAGTAAATGGTTGGATTCGAATCTGCCTGTCATGGGGATAGTCAAGGTATTTGATGACCACAAAAGAGGGTTGCCCTGTACCTATTTAACAAGATGTTCTACTAATTATTTATAAGTAGACTTAAACCAGCACGAGCCCTTTTATTGAGATTGTCTTTTTAGCTATTCGCTATAACGGCATAAGCACTTAAGGCTCCACCGTTGTGCTTTCTTCAGACAGCATGGTTCTTGCACCATATCAGTGTTTTTTCGGCTTTTTCTGGCTGGTAGTAAACCTCATGTCGCATAATTATAACTACCTACTTAAGGAGTGATATGGGGTGTCCATTTAGGCACATTTGCTTACCTTCGTTGGCTTTTACCAAATTGCTTGCGATCTCGTTTGCCTGTCTGTCCTCTTTACTAAATGGAGCTTGAAAATCTGAGGACCTCCCAACATGTACTTTCACAGAAAACCAATTTGAGAAAAAGTCGGTGGATCTTCTTCAGCTCAAGAATAGCCCATTTGGGTGAGGAACTGAAGCAGCAACTTACTTTGAAGGCAATGGGTGAGTTAAAAGATCTGAGAGATTGCAGGGATATCATAGATAAATAATTCAGGAGCTATAAAATCGTTTCATAAAAGTACAACTCAAGTCTTTGGTGCCTCTCAAGGTCCATATGTTAATTGTGTCACAACTCATGCCCGGGTGGATTTCAGCCAAGACAGGAGTAATGGGAAAATTCCAAGTTTTAGTTAGAATGGAATGTCTTTTTATATTGTTTTTAGACCTGATTCTACTGGCTGTGTATTGGGAAGGAGAGTAAAGTCCTTTTGTATTCAGCTAATTTTATCTGTCAGTATCTTAAAGCATCAGCTACTGATTGGTATATGCCTTAAACGGAACCTCAGCAAAAGACGGATTGTCGGAAATACAGGAAGCAAATCCTAAAAACTATAAAGTTGCACAATTTTTGCGC